CCAGCCAGACCAGCGTAGCGAGGCACGGCGCCGGATGATGTACTAATTCCAAACACGCGAGAAAAGTTATTCTTGTAGGGCTTAATCGTGTATACTTACGGAAGGGATTGCTTTGGAAATAAATTAGGCTTTTAGGTATACAAGGGTTTCTATTACTATCAAGAGAATATAACACGTTAAAAGAAGGTTTTTTTTACGAACACCCTACATCGGACTTGTATTGTTTGGATATGTACGTACTTTTAAGTACCCTAAATCAACCAAACTAAAAACATCACTTAACATACAATGTTTGTTTGGTTTCAAAATATTTTAGTTATCTTGACGTTTTTATGTGTTTGTTTAATAAAGACACCAAAAGATACTAACTCCAAACACTTAATGATAATCCTACAAACTGAGTAAATCTGCCGATGCTAGCGAAAATGAATATAATGACTATTTGTGGTAAAATACACAACAACAATTTTTATTTATAGCAGTAGTATTTTTTTACTAAAATATTGATGCTAAAATAACAATTATTTTTATATTACGAACTACTAGTCTGCTTTAATAATGTTCAATGTATATTAAGATAAAATTGAAATACAATAAATTTAAAATAGAGCGAAACACACTATTAATATTACCATACAAAACGATATATACTATACTAAATATTTAAATTACATTACTATACATTTAAAAGAGATCTTAAAATTACATATAATTAATTTATTTCGTTTCAACAATAGGGCTTTGCGTGGGAACTGACATTATTTACAATTAAAATCTATTGTTAAATATTTTTTGTTCACTTCAGTCTGATATTGAGTTATCTGAGGTTGACAACATGTTGACTTCTTGGAAAAGATATCAGACAACAAACATCATCGGGACGCAGACGAGAAACGAAACTTTGATAAGAGATAAAAACTCCTAAAGGAATATTTGTCGTCGGCCTCAAACAGAGTTTAGATAACACTTCCTGTCGGATACTTTAAACTCAGAAAAGTTCAGTTCAGTGGTATAGTGAAACTGAACTTTGCTGGGAATTGGTTTTATAGTCAAACCAATAGTACACTGAATACTAAAACGATAATTTTTACGATAATTTTTTCAAAAGTATTTTTAATTTCTCCCGTTAAATCTTTATTCTTTCCAAGCACGTTTTTAATCCGTATTCCGTTTGCAAATAGAACGATAGTTTTTACATAAAATTCCAAATTTATAAAAAGAGTTCAAACATTAAAAAGATACAATAATATGTATTGTATTGATATGTTTAAAAGAGTTAACAAATTTTATATGAATATATCTTTTTCTTATGCCACTGTTTTTCGTTTGATATCTTGGTAAAAAATAAATACTGTTTTAATATAACGGTCTAATTTAATTTTAATGCCAAAGTCCAATAAAGTAAAATGGACAGTCGACAATCGAAATAATAAACAATTCATCCAACAAAAATAACCCGATTACATTACCTCTGTTTACAATACATCAAAAAGGGCATTTCATAAACACTTGATCAAATAAACAACCAATTGACATTTGAAGCGTCGGTGGTTCCGTGCAAATAGAATAATAGATGGTTATTATCCTAATTCAATATTTTGAAGGAACACGTCATCGCAATGGGCAATCAATCAAAATTGAAGCTAATGCAATAAGTGTTCTCAATATCATAATGGCCAAACATGAAAACGTTGACGCAAACAGGGCGGTTGCTGCGTTATCAATAATTAATGGCATTATGTTATCTGTAATCAGTCGAATAGTTGCTAAAAGCGAGCTCGTTCTGTGGTGAAGAGTGATCAAGCCTCGACCACACGAGCCTGGCTTTGCATCCAATATGGGGGAATTGTCGACCGTTTACTCGGTTATCATCAGTTTTAGACTTGTGATAATAGTCTAGATTTTTGGTTCTTAAATGCGGATGTAATTAAGATGGGACATAAAAAATTAGCTGTCTAGTCATTGTTAAGTGGGATAATTTACACGTATTGTTTTATTTGTAAGAACAATTGTTATATTGTTTTGTAACTAATTAATAGTTTGATTTCCTCGTCAATTTCACGTCAATTATGCAATTTCAATTACTCTTTTACCGCATGAAACATCTAATTATTGGGAAGCTCAGTTCAAATCGATAAGGCTTACAAATTAAGAGTTATTTAATACGATAAAAATACTTAAAAATCATAAATAACGATGTAGTTCACTTTGTGAGCGCGATTCGTAAGTATTGTGTGTAAAGAAATTCTTTCCAATGTTTATTTGTCCTCTTCGATTTACGTTCTAAGAGACATTCAGCCTAGATAGTAGTGTGAACAAATTGGTAATGTGTTTTAAACACTTCAAGTATTTTTGTATAGTACAGCTTTTACAATAAAAAATAATTCTAAAACCATAGAAGCGATATAATCAAACCTTACAATATTAAAAAGGTGAACGAAAGAATGGGTAAATATGCTTATATTGAATAACAATAGGCTTCGTCCATTTGAGTACCGTTTACATTAAACTTATGTTAATAACCAACTTAGACGACAATGAATTATTTTTAACAGCAACGAAACTGTAGATTCTTTAGGTTAATTAGATATCAAATGTCATGCGCTACAAAAATGTATGCAAGTCTTTGAGAAAATATGGCTTTTGTGAGTCGGTGGCTCAGTAGTAGCTGACGGACTTGGGGCCGAAGGAAGCAATGTTATGGGTTCGGATCCTGGTAGGCTACCTGTCACTACTTTTGATCGGTACAGTTCACCCTTGTACTGTAGCGGCTCACCCTTTGTTTTTTGGTTACGTTCGGCCCATCTGTTGCCCGTTGTTGGGCAAATGCAAGGTATAAAGAGGCTGCCAAACTCCAAAAAATACCGTAAAACTTTTGAAATGGCGTTTAAGTATATACAATTAGGTTATCAGTTTGTGTTGAACTTAGTATTAACAATTACCTTTTGCCGATAAATAATTACCTGAATGGACCTACAATTCTAAGTGTTTGCTTCGAATGAAGTCAAAATCAATCCCTTAAGAAACTCAATAACAACTACGGGTCTTCTGTCCGCGATTCTATATAGGTACTGATATACAGATATGGGTACTGTATGTATATTATGTATACACTAATACATCTGACTAAGTGTTTCAATTAACAAAATTGCCTCTTATCAGTTGAAATACTTAAGCTTCTAGCCCATCATTAAAAATTATATACATGTCATAACCCAGTCTAGAAAAATCATTTAATAAACCTGTAACTGTAAACAAACCCTGTAACTTTGATAAAGGCTATATAACCATAACAATGTCTGTCCCGTCGAACGTTCTCACTTATGAAAGATTGATTTGTATTTACGGGATATCAAGAGTACTTGATTCATATATAATTCATCTTAACAATGTTAAACTGCATAACTACTGTTATACCTAACTTATATTTACACCTAAAGCTGGGTTTTCCTAGACGCGGAGTCGGCCAGCGGAGAGCGGACAACGGAGAGCGGAATTGAAATTAACATGGCATTCCGCTCCGCTGCTAGGAAAACAGTAACATTAAATTACCTAAGACAAGCTGAGTCCGCTCTCCGTTGTCCGCTCTCCGCTGGCCGACTCCGCGTCTAGGAAAACCCAGCTTAACGGTTTTCAGATTCAAAGGGACATGGATAGTAATGAGTTAAGTGTTAGGACTGAATGATCAAGGTTGGATCCTAAATTAATAGTACATAAATGTTTTACGTGCTATTCACAAACTTGCGTTTTATCATAATTAGTAGCTCTTGATGCAGTTTCAATTAATTTCAATTTTTCATTTAACGATCGATATGCAACTGTTTCCTTAATTGTTAACAGTATATTTCGACATTTATATATAAATGTTGACTTTCTATTTCTTCCGTTCGTGGAATATATTAAGACTCAGTTAGGGTTATATCTTTGTTTCATAATATCTTATATTGGCACCGTTATGCAATACTCAAAATCATTGCATAACTAAAATTAATATCAAAAATAGTTATTTATGTATATAAAACTTGTTAACACGTGTAAATAAAAAACGTCTATGATTTTTTTTTCTGAACATAACATTAAGTATGTAGCTTAATTATTTATTGGTTTTTCTTAGTATTACATAGTTAACGTGTCTTGTATTTGAGGAATGGCATTCTAAGTTTTCGATTGAAACGTATTAGTTGCAGAAACCCCTAAACATGATTTTACAGCTGAAACGTTTGCTGGAGCTAGTATTGATTGTGACGGCCAGATTGTAACAACAGCTGTTTGACGTAAAGGTATTAGAGATGTAAACTTCACTAGTATTTTATGATCAACAAGTGACTAAATGCTATGTGTTCAATAATTAAAACTCATACACTTTAACTCGTTAATAAAACTACCACGTTAAATATTATTGACAAATAATTTACTGTCTGCGTGATATTCGTGCATGCTGTCATTGCTTGTTTACATTTCAAATACTCAAACGTTTGTAAATTATTAAGTACTGTATTCGTATTCCAATACAAAATGGACGTAGTTCAAGTAGGTAGTAGTAAGAATACACTAATTTAAACATAAACTGACATGTTTTAGTGTATTTTTATAGAGCTCACTGGATGTATAGAAACCATTAGGAATTGATTGCTTGTTTATTAGGGTTAGATACTACTATTAATTAGTTCATTACTTTATTAATAATAAAGGTGTTTAGTGTATTATGTTAATTAAATAATTGTGATCATTGTCAAAGACCTATAACATGTAAGTTGTTTAAATCTAATAATAACTTTTGGGGTGCTAATTTATTTGTTATTAGTTTAATAATAATTATAGTTGATATAAATTCCATGTGCTGGATTTAATCACTAGTCTTTGATCATCAATGATGACACATAATCGGTCAACCTTACCATAGTGAAAAACAAATCTTTACACATATTCCAAACAATTGCGTTCAAACCCTTATTTTCCTTAGTTTCACCCTCATCTCACTTATTACATGTCATCCCTACCTGAACGTGGTGAATATTTCCAAAACACTGTTCACGACGATATAGTCTGAGCACTTAACACAAACACACGCGAATGTCACTAGAGAGCACACATAAGTAGCAAGCGCGGTGATCGGCTAGGGTCCTCCCTGGAACGCGGCTCATTCCCGACTGTGACTTATCAGAGGGCTGCTAGAGCTGGGCTGCCGTGGGGGGTGGCCCACTGGCCCCTCAACACCCCACCATCCTCCACGCACTGCTTGTTTACGTTTCGGCTTTTGATCCTATCTCGTATCACTGTCTGCTATGAATGATCGCTGCCCGCGCGAGCCTAACATCTGATAAGGTGTTACCGAGGCTAATTTAATGCTTCTAGTATCTGTTACCGTCGTAAATATGGCGGATGATGGATGGGGGTAAAAACTGTGGGACCCTTTTTTCTGTTGGTTTTTCCACATTAACAACAACGCTCATCAGAAATCATACAAAGTTTAGTTACACAAATTTATGTATTTAATGCGTTTTTACTAAAGGTGACATTGAGGGGGTTTAGAGTAAAAGCACCTAACTTTAGTTCTAGCTATTACGGAAAGGAAATAAAAAAAACGTCTTATAACACTTGAAACCTATATTTACGCTTATACTGTTACTCACAAGACGGTAAATATACTGGTAAGTGGTGATCGATTTCGGTTGGACACTCCAATGATCATCAGACCCAATAGGCGAATCAATATGGTTTTAGCTATTGTCTACGGTATGACCAATTTGGAATGTTTGCTAGCCTGAATACAGTTTGACTTTTACTTGATGATCCGCTTTGTATCCTCCTATACCAATGAGTAAACGTCTACACGTTTTATAAAATGACTACTTTTATCCAAACGTTTCTGGTTCTTTTATTTCTTTGACAGCACAGTCTTCAATTGCACATATTGCCCTTACGCTAATCTTGTCAATATTAAACTTTTGTTGTTTTATATTTCTATGCGTTATAAGAATAAATGTTTTAGGCTTCACAGAAAAGTTGTGTTATAAGCCATGTGTTTATAGGTTTACATGGACAGGCAGTTGCATGTCCATGTAGAGAATTATGCTTTTCAGCATTCCAATTGACATTCAAGCTGATATTACTTATCTACAGAGAACGCTTGACAAGGCTTAAAATCTAATAATCACCTAAACACATTTTGTTTCGCTATACAGAAAATAATAGCATAAGCTTAGTGGTAAAAATGTAGTCTACAGTAAATTTGAAACATTTTCATGTATTAAAATATTTTCCAATGAACTTACGAAGTGTTGCAACTCTTGTTGTTCACAAATAGCCTACAATCAAATCAAATAATTAATTAATTGCATTCGGAATATCTAAATAGTTCACTATAATTAGGCAATTGTTAATCAACATAGTAATTATCAGAGTTATTGCGAGTGTAACTTGCTTCATCCCTTCAGCAATGGTCGCTGCAATTGAAATTGGCACGAATTGTTAAATTAATACATCGTTATGTAGTTCAGTGTGGTAATTACATGAACTAGTCTATAGGTTTAAACCCGTATGTTGGATTATCAGGGAATGCGTTTTGTATGAAACATGAATGGTAAATTAAATTATCAACCATACCAATTCCACTTTAACTTTATTTTAAAGAAATTATATCGGGATATGTTTGTGCCAAAATATATTTTTGCAATTGTTATTTTAATTTTTGATATGACCCCCTACAGCTTAAAGTTGACTCCAAACTACTGGAACCTGGAGCATAGTTTGGCATGTTGGCTAGGACTTGCCGTTACATTAGCTCATAGCCATTGGAGATTTCCGAGGATTTTAAAACAAGCTTCTAGAGACTGGACACTGGGCAGGTGTCCCGCGTGGTAATGCATCTTAAGCCAAAACACATAATTATTATCGTGAGTGTTTTTATGCTACACTAACCTCATATAGGTTAGTTGTCACGTAAAATTTACAATATACATCAGACACAAACCTAAATAATATGATCAAGAGAGGCATACTGGAGCACGATCAATTTGGCGATTTGTACTTGCTTACCAACATTCTGTGTAGTCAGTCTGACTGGAGGAAATTAATTAATTCAAAGTTTTGTATAGCGTTTTGTAGCATCGGCTTGTCTTTCATGTCTCAATGCTTGGGGAGAGAAGGGGATTATTGGTTGTCAAAAAGAATCTTTTAGAAAATATATTTCAAGTTTACTCTAAGGGTATGAAGGGGCATCTATAGCTATATACGTTCGATCTACGTTCTATACGATCCATTCGTTAGGATACAACACTAAATTCATTTAATTGCAATACAAATTTTGAAACAAAGAAGAAGTTGATGCAAGAATACCAATTATAAACATATCTACGTCTATGTCATTTAATAAATCATGTTGAAAACCACAATGATATTCTCCAACAATATATCCCGATTCAAGAAGATTCATTTTCGTTTTGATTCAGAGTTAGAACTACTTTAATAAACAAATTCAAACACCTTTATGCAATGACAACCCTACAAAGCTTTCAACAGTAGTGTAGGGATAGTAATGACGTCAGCAGCCGACCAAGCCGTGTTTGGCGAAGGGATGAGTCGACCAGCTCATTTCCCCTGAGCTCTACCCAAACACGGTCCCATCCATTCATTATAACTCAGTTGCTTTCTGAATCCCTAAAAGATTTATACTTTTGTGGAATCATAATTTCAAACCGTTAGATTGTGATCCATCAATTTTTTATAGATTTCCTTTCTTTTTTTGTTTCAAAAATGGGTGTATTTTTACAATTGTCTACGCTATGCCAATTTTCCAAGATGTTAGCGTATTTAGTATAATCACATTGATCAGAGCGCATATGGTTTGAATAAATCACTCAACTACACGTATCTTAAAAAAAAAATTAGCATTTACCTGTTAGCTATATGAAAATACTCGCAATTTTAATGATTATTTCAAGAAATACTATAACTTTAAAATAATATTAAGTATTACTTTTTAAACTGTATCCATACTGAGAAATTAGAAAGGGTCTAGTTTCCAGGATATATAAAATAAATGAATACAAACATATACATAGAGTTGAATGCCTGTATTCTGTGTAGACCTTCTGCTACGCACCCACTGGGTCGACACTGAAGATGTATGTGGAGGGGAAAATTGTGGTAGAGAGTTCCTTTTTGATAGAAAAAGAGGAGAATGTTAAGTTAGGAAAATGAGGTATTGGACTCACAACATCAGTAGGAAAATTTTGATTTGTGGCGAATTCCAATCTTTGTTGCCAAACCTAATGGAAGATGACGTTAAGTCTTTTGAATAATATTCTGGGTGACGACACAGTGAGCGCTTTCTTATTTAATTCAAAGTTTTTTTACTTTTAAAAAATACTGTACGTGCCGTACCTTAACATCCATACCGACCCAGTGGGCAGCTTTTGATTGATTAATATCAATAGTCGCGGGATTTATACTCGCTGATAATAGATTACATGACAAAATTAAGTTTTACCGTAACTAAATTAATACTCATTCAAATACCGGTACAAATTATTATTTTAAAAAGTTATTAAATTGAATCATTTGGTGTTATTTGGTGGTGGGACTTATTGCTTTATATATATGTGGTCTATATATAAGGTTATATATAAGTGTACTTTAAACCGTAAAAAAGCCCATGGCTTATACTACGAGCTCGTAACTACTTAAGAACGTTGTTTACGCAAGGAGTAAATTGTGGAGCATTTTTTCAATGTGTGAAACAACATATTAAACCTTTCTGAATAAAACCAGCACTAAAATAATTGTAAGGGTGATGTTTTTTTCAGTAAATTTCATAAGAGAGAAGAGAACAGTGTTGACACAATCGAGCAGGGCCAAACAGCCGCCTACACCTGTCCACATAACAACAACACTACTACAACCGCAGGGCTACACGCACGCACACACTACACAGCACACAGGCTCTCACTGCCGGCGACGTTTAACAACTCTGAATTTATTTCTTAAAATATTATTTCTAGGATTATTATGTTAGATTTGTTTAAAGATTAAGTGTTAACTTAAATTTGGTAATCCATTGTTAGTTTCTTAAGGGTCTAATAGAAAGAAATGTTTGTAATTGCTAATCAGTTAAGTTCATATATTGTTAAATCATGAGATCGGGTTTTACCATGTTAATGGGGTGAGTCTGGACCCACATGGCCTTGTCCACGGAATTTTCCAAAAACCCAAGCCAAAACAACGAAAACAAATAATTTAGGAAGGTAAAAACACTTCGGTACTTTCATATTATACCAACCACACCTAAATTGGTCAAATAAAACGCTTGGGTTAGGTTGGGAAGATTTTGTCATCTAAACTAATTAAAATCTTATCTTGAAGTCCATTTATCGGTGTGGTTTGTATAGTAAGAGGGTGCCAAAACGTCATCGTCCATCTCACTTTATTATTTAAAAATACAAAAATAAAATATAAAATTAATCATAATTTATAGCAAAGTTGTAGTCATTGTGATCAAATAACATATTGGTATTTACATTTTAAACAATTATTACGTCATTGTTGAAATATTGATTCAAAACGAATTGAAATATCTGTTTTAACTGCTAAAATAGTAATTTGAAATAACTATATTAAGAATATTTTTAATATTTCCTCTTTGGGTAAACGTCAAAATTTTCTTTCTTTAAACAGATACTATTATATCGTAAGAAAAATAAACTTAACAGTAAATAACATAACGTTGAGAAATAAATGACATGTAGAAATATAGGGAGATAAAGAGAAAAGAGCGAAAGAAAGAGCTGCATTGTAATAGAGTGCTTAGGAACCCTCGAGCCAAATATTAAAATTTCACTCAAACCTTTGACAATGGCTCCCAACTACAATCTGCTTTCTCTCAGATACTGTATTGGTGAAATTAAAACTTCTCTTTGTCACGTGTTTCTCTTTTGAGGGGTTTATCCTCGTCAATGATTATTAATTGTATGTTAAACAAGAGCCTGTTTTAAAGCAATATACATTTAATTGAGTTATCAGTAAATATACCTGTATTGAAAATACTACTTTACGTAATGTATATAGTAATTTGTTTTGTGTGCCAAATCATGCTCTAGTAATGATTACAGCATACTATTTATGTTGCTGTAACAATATCAA